ATTACGGTCCTGTTCGCTGCGGTTGATGTAGGGCTTGTCACGGGTGGGGACAGTGGGCTAGGCTTGGGGCGGCGCCAGCACATTCTCCTTGCCGCTTTCTCCTCTTCACCAAGTGGAGGAGAACGAGCCGGCGCCGCTCCAAACCACCCCTCCACCTTCACGCGTCACCATCTGCAGCAAACAAATCTATTCTTTCTCTAGGTTGTCCGAGATTTCGGCCTCCTACATTGCGCTGCTTGTATAGACGTGGGAATCACAGAACATCGTTATGGGAATCACACCAGGGGGTCGTATTCAGTCGTGAAGGTGGGGAGGGGGGGAGGGGACATCCGTATCTCCATCGTATTTCAGTAGCTGAGAAATTCTGCATTCATAGGAAAAAGGTTCAGAATAGGGCCTATTTGGACATCTCAGAGCTCCGCTGTTCTTCTCATTTCAGGGAAAGCGTTTGACTCCCCTCCCCCTCCCCCCCCCCTCCCCCCTTCTAGCAAGATAAGGAAGAGAGGCAGTGGAAATGGGGTCTTACCGGTATGTTCTTGAAGGAGATGGTACCTACCCCCCCCCCCCTTTGGGAGGGCGAGGCGTCGTAGAGACACTGAGATTTTTCACATCCCATGGTATTTCCTGGTCGAAATTACGCGGCAGTACTCATCTAAATTTCCGAACAAGTTTCGGTGCGTTGGGTGGCGCTTGGCGAACAACGCTCATACAGTTCCGTTCGCTGCAGATGCTGGGAAGTAGCTGACGTATCTGATGTGTGCTTGCCATTTCTCCACCAACTGTGGTGCCTGCCACCTCCATAATGGTGGGAAATGGACCAACATTGAGCTAAAGTCGGCCTCCCTTACACGTCCCAGCATCCGCAACGAACAAGACTGCATATTGCACCTCACTGTGTTCCATACCTTCTTAGGACCTTATGATTTCCCAAGCTGTAAGTGCTTAATTTCAGCGTGCCCGGCTGGTCAACAGCTCTACGGCGTCGAATGTACACGAGTGGCACATTATGGCCAAGTATGTGAAAAGGACAGTCAGTGTGTCGATCCATTCGTATTGTCAATGCGCCCAGGAACGCACAAGAGATATGATAGAAGAGCTTACTGCACGCTGGTCAAGCTTTCCTGTAAGCATTCTCATGAGCTTTCCCAGGTAAGAGTTAATTCGTACTATAGCGTTTTATAGATTGGTTCGAAATGTAATAAATATAGAGTAGAATCTAACTCCGGCTGCTAATTGTTTTGCCCTAGAGTTCGCAATGACGCGCTGCCACTGTAATAGCACTTCTGGACGGGAACGCAACCGTGGCGAGTATCGATCGGCGTCGCTGCCGATCGATACTCGCCACGGTTGCGACGGCTGCCGGTGTCTCCGAAGAGTATAGAAGAGAAGGAGAGTGTCAGACTGTATATCAGGCAACGCGTACCCTCCTATTCTCCTATACTGTTTCAGAACACTACCGGCCGGCACCGAGCAATATCCATTTATAGCTGAGTTTCTGTCTGTAGGATTGGGGAACATTTGTGGAAGCGTGTCACTGCAAAGACTGTATACCCTCTTAAGCTGCGTTCATACCTTGCGGCAGCGTCCGGCAGCGCCAGTGGTGAGGGAAGTAAAGATATCAATGCCCGCGTTCTTCAGCGTCCACCAGCGTCTCGAGGGCTAGAGAAGTATAGGTAACGATCACACCATAATCTCTACCAGCAGGTTGCCACCCTCCTATCTCCCCATACTCTATCAGCTCACTACTATCCTTCTATTGCGCCACACTCTCTACCAGCAGTCTGCTACCTTCCTGTCGCGCCACATTCTCCTCTCCGGACGCTAGTAGACGCTGGTGCACGCTGGCAGTTGCTGGCAGACGCTAGATCTACAACTATACTTCCATAGCCCTCAAGACGCTGATGGGCGCTGTTAGATCGAAGGACGCTGGCAGACGCTAGATCGATATCACACTTTCTAGTCGCTGACGCTGCCGGACGCTCGGAACGCTGATGGACGCTATTGGTCGCTTGTGAAGGCTGCTGCAAAGTATGAACGCAGCCTTATATTTCGTTCATTTTTACTCTATTGGTGGCCGTCGAGTTTTCATCCCTACACGTGGGCGATTACGTATTACGTGGGCGATTGAGTGAGTGCAGCCTAGGCAGCTGTATCGTGACCGCACGCGTCGCATAGATTGAACCAGGGTACAGCATCGTGATGTGTGTAATGGTGGGCCAGTACGTTCCCCTCTCGAAAGAGGGTCTCGGTACGACCCCCTCCCTCACCTCCCCTCTTCCCCAACATCTACCTACCAATTTCCAACATTTTCCAGTTTTTCACCCAAAGATTTTCTGCTGTCGAGCGGGGGGGGGGGGCATATAGTACATATAAGTTCTTTCTGTTGTTGACTTTTCGCGCCATTTTCCTGTTTCATGATACCCATGAAACAGGAAAAATCGCGCGAAAAGTCAACAACCGGAAAGAACTTTTTCCCAACGCGGCAAATGTCTCTCAGAGCCACATACGACCCCACCCCGGCCGAAAAGTACGTTCCCCTGGGTGTTTCACACAACGATGCTGTACTCTGGATTCAACTACAACTAATTCGTCTACCCCATTGCGTTTCTCACGGATTCCATTTCCATAGATGGAATTTTTAGCTTTATCACCAGACATTAATCATATACAAATGTAAAACAAATAAATAAATTAAAGGAATTATCACGTGCGATATTGCCAGCTGTTCCTTGTCGACTAATAGATTTGGCACCATTGTTACTGGTTCACTGAGTTGGCATATTTAGTATGTCCTGATGGAATGCATCCACGCCAAACATGTCGCCGACTGTTCGTAAATGATGTGGACATGCTTGAAAATGCAGCCAACACTGACAGTTGCCCCCTCGGTTACCGCTGTGTGACCTACGGTAGTCCATATGTCGGGCACTGCTGCCGATTACGTTGTCCGTATGGAGAGCCCGACCTGAGGTTTGTCCTGAGTCGCTTGATTGTGTCCTGGGCATTTTGCATCTACTGAAATTGCCGATGAGCCTTTTTCAGCCAATCCTGCGACGCTGGTGCAGCGCCAGAATCCAAGTGCCGACCGCTCACCCACTTCTGCTATACGATCAGCGAGCCAGGGCGGGTAATTTTTTGTATTGAAAAGTTGATTTTAGAAAACATCTAACGTCTCCATGACATCAGAACTCCTAGAAAACTTTGTTAACAGTTTTGAAGAATGAGTTTCAGATGGAAATCGTCACTTTGCTGTCCCCGCCCATGTCGTGATCCGACTTCATTGTATATCAACGGTCAATGCCTATCAATAGCTCATCGTGATGACCCATGCCAAATCGATCAGCAGGTAACTAGAAATTTATTGCTCTTTACTTAAAGACACATTCCGCGATTACCCCCCTGCTGGCCAGTTTTCGTTTTCCCGGCATAGGACAGTGAGAGACACAAAGACATGCAGTAATGTGCCACTTCTTCCCTCGAGAGTCCGTTTTAAGGATGCAAGGGCGCCTGTAACTTGTGACTCGCCACGCCTCTGCAGTCATTTCCACCTATCCCATCTTACGCGACAGCGGAAACGCAGTTTGAGACGTGTGCCCTACTCCCGCGATTGTTTGGATTCTCCTGCACAAATTGACATCACCTGCTTCTCCATTTAATGGCATACATTGAATTATTATGTATGTTGCGATAACAGCGCAGGATGTTGTCATGTCAGAACTAGCGGAGCAATATGAGGCGTATCGTGTCCAGCAGGAGCGCCACACAGTAACCCTCACTTTAGTCATAAGGCAACACCTGGGGCATTCTGGTGGAGAGCGGAATTACGCTCTCTCTACTTTCCTTCTTTAACCATTTGCTGCGAGGAGCATAACAGTAACGGGAGCGACACATTTCATTTCATGCATTTCCTGGAGGTACTGTATAACGCCTGCCTTTCTTAATTTAGAGTCTTTTACCTCATACTTTCCCAGAACTGACAATCGAATGCCCCTTATTTAAAGGCACGGTCCAACAACAGGGATATATGTAATGGTGTTGAAAAAATATGGAAGAGAAGTTGTCGTGACTCGTTTGTGAAGAGAAAATGACAAAGGAAATGTTGGCAACGTCTTTGATAGCCCCCTCCCCCGCTCCCAGCCTTCAAACAACTGCACGCGGTGAAAAGTTCACTGGAAAGCCAAAAGGCGCCAAGTTGGCACGAGGTAATTCCTTGAGATGGACCTCAAGACCTCACAAGATAAAACAGAGCACCCATTTCATCATACTTGTCTGGTAGAAGGCTCTGCTGGAAGGCGTACTGAAGACGCGTCTGGGGGCGGAGTCATTGGAAAAGGGAGCTACCTATGGAGCAACTCTGCGCCCTAACTCTTTCACATTACAGTTCTCAATCGCCAAACTGGCCCAAGGTTGTCCACCTCGCATACCACACTACCTTTCCTACAGCATTTGCCATTCTCATAGGTCATTCGCGGGATCCGTTCCATTCAAACCTTTCTTCTTATTTTTCTTTAACGGACAAGCCAATCGGCACCTGGAGGACTCATATTGAATCCCGACTATGCCCCGACGTTTAATCGCAGAATGCGCTTGTTACGACGGTTCCTTGAGAATCGCTATGTTAATTCACTTGCCAGACTTACTAGTTATATTTACAGTGTGAAGGTGGTATTTCGATGTCGTGCGCTCTGGGTACACTTGTCAGTGCAAGCTCGGCTACCATCCGGTCAGTTAACTCAAGTCTATAATACGAAGTGCCTCTCTGCGGTGGCGCTGTCCGGGACTAGGAATATGCAGTTCGATATTCGTCGCCACACAGCCAAGTGTCCGAGAGCCAGGAAATGAGGTCTACTGCCTGCCTTTTCTTCCACTGAATTGCTTTCTTTCCTAAAAACCTAGCGTGAGCGAGCACTATGTTGGTAGGAAAAGTCAGCCAGGGCTGCTCAGTTCACGGCTCTCTGACACCGCCCACCGGGCTGCTTGCCATGATATCCACTATGTCCACAAGGCGACAATATTTGCAAAACAAATACTTTCAGTACAATGATGATCGGTTTCCAACATGTGAGAAGACCTGTAATCAGCTGGAAGAGATTGCTTCTACCGACCGATGCCTTCCAAAAGCTCAACTTGGCCATCGATGTCTATCTAAGAAACAGTGTCCAGGCTTCGCTGACTGTAGATTTGGAACGTGTCAATGCTTATGTGGATATAAGCAGGTTCGAGTAAGTTGCTTCGTTTTCATTACAGCTCAATTGCGATTGTATGCTGGGGGGGGAAGCGGGAGGGGCGGAGCGTGGTTTAGAACACGGAGAGCGTTGTGTCACGTCAATGTTGACCCAGCTGCCTCCGTACATACAAATGCGGCACTCGCCTAAGAACTCAAACTTCATAGTTGGGCTGTGCTTCGCGGATGTAGAGCGTTACTTTCTGCCACGGCAAAATATACGCTGCAAGTGGGGTGACGTGCGCACATTCGTATCAGGACCCAATCCACTCGACGTAGCAGTGTTGTGACGCGTCGACTCTCTCTACGTCTGCGTCTCTCAAGTCGTCTGGTTCTCTTCTGCTGGTCTGTTGGCGTCGACGAACAAGGCTGGGCAGGTGCGTACTGTTCGAATGAGCTCAATGCTACGACTCGGAAGTATCATTTCAAATCCCTGCTTCTGTGAACACACCGCGCGCGGCACAATATTGCTGCTTACCGTGAGGTCTACGGAAGCAAATGTGTAGGAGTAAGTTTTTAGGGAATCCCTATACTCCATTACTGAGAAAAACTACAGGTAAGAAATTTATGCTCTTTACTTAGAGACACATTCGCGTATTACCCCCCTGCTGGCCAGTTTTCGTTTTCCCGGCATAGGACAGTGAGAGACACAAAGACATGCAGTAATGTGCCACTTCTTCCCTCGAGAGTCCGTTTTAAGGATGCAAGGGCGCCTGTAACTTGTGACTCGCCACGCCTCTGCAGTCATTTCCACCTATCCCATCTTACGCGACAGCGGAAACGCAGTTTGAGACGTGTGCCCTACTCCCGCGATTGTTTGGATTCTCCTGCACAAATTGACATCACCTGCTTCTCCATTTAATGGCATACATTGAATTATTATGTATGTTGCGATAACAGCGCAGGATGTTGTCATGTCAGAACTAGCGGAGCAATATGAGGCGTATCGTGTCCAGCAGGAGCGCCACACAGTAACCCTCACTTTAGTCATAAGGCAACACCTGGGGCATTCTGGTGGAGAGCGGAATTACGCTCTCTCTACTTTCCTTCTTTAACCATTTGCTGCGAGGAGCATAACAGTAACGGGAGCGACACATTTCATTTCATGCATTTCCTGGAGGTACTGTATAACGCCTGCCTTTCTTAATTTAGAGTCTTTTACCTCATACTTTCCCAGAACTGACAATCGAATGCCCCTTATTTAAAGGCACGGTCCAACAACAGGGATATATGTAATGGTGTTGAAAAAATATGGAAGAGAAGTTGTCGTGACTCGTTTGTGAAGAGAAAATGACAAAGGAAATGTTGGCAACGTCTTTGATAGCCCCCTCCCCCGCTCCCAGCCTTCAAACAACTGCACGCGGTGAAAAGTTCACTGGAAAGCCAAAAGGCGCCAAGTTGGCACGAGGTAATTCCTTGAGATGGACCTCAAGACCTCACAAGATAAAACAGAGCACCCATTTCATCATACTTGTCTGGTAGAAGGCTCTGCTGGAAGGCGTACTGAAGACGCGTCTGGGGGCGGAGTCATTGGAAAAGGGAGCTACCTATGGAGCAACTCTGCGCCCTAACTCTTTCACATTACAGTTCTCAATCGCCAAACTGGCCCAAGGTTGTCCACCTCGCATACCACACTACCTTTCCTACAGCATTTGCCATTCTCATAGGTCATTCGCGGGATCCGTTCCATTCAAACCTTTCTTCTTATTTTTCTTTAACGGACAAGCCAATCGGCACCTGGAGGACTCATATTGAATCCCGACTATGCCCCGACGTTTAATCGCAGAATGCGCTTGTTACGACGGTTCCTTGAGAATCGCTATGTTAATTCACTTGCCAGACTTACTAGTTATATTTACAGTGTGAAGGTGGTATTTCGATGTCGTGCGCTCTGGGTACACTTGTCAGTGCAAGCTCGGCTACCATCCGGTCAGTTAACTCAAGTCTATAATACGAAGTGCCTCTCTGCGGTGGCGCTGTCCGGGACTAGGAATATGCAGTTCGATATTCGTCGCCACACAGCCAAGTGTCCGAGAGCCAGGAAATGAGGTCTACTGCCTGCCTTTTCTTCCACTGAATTGCTTTCTTTCCTAAAAACCTAGCGTGAGCGAGCACTATGTTGGTAGGAAAAGTCAGCCAGGGCTGCTCAGTTCACGGCTCTCTGACACCGCCCACCGGGCTGCTTGCCATGATATCCACTATGTCCACAAGGCGACAATATTTGCAAAACAAATACTTTCAGTACAATGATGATCGGTTTCCAACATGTGAGAAGACCTGTAATCAGCTGGAAGAGATTGCTTCTACCGACCGATGCCTTCCAAAAGCTCAACTTGGCCATCGATGTCTATCTAAGAAACAGTGTCCAGGCTTCGCTGACTGTAGATTTGGAACGTGTCAATGCTTATGTGGATATAAGCAGGTTCGAGTAAGTTGCTTCGTTTTCATTACAGCTCAATTGCGATTGTATGCTGGGGGGGGAAGCGGGAGGGGCGGAGCGTGGTTTAGAACACGGAGAGCGTTGTGTCACGTCAATGTTGACCCAGCTGCCTCCGTACATACAAATGCGGCACTCGCCTAAGAACTCAAACTTCATAGTTGGGCTGTGCTTCGCGGATGTAGAGCGTTACTTTCTGCCACGGCAAAATATACGCTGCAAGTGGGGTGACGTGCGCACATTCGTATCAGGACCCAATCCACTCGACGTAGCAGTGTTGTGACGCGTCGACTCTCTCTACGTCTGCGTCTCTCAAGTCGTCTGGTTCTCTTCTGCTGGTCTGTTGGCGTCGACGAACAAGGCTGGGCAGGTGCGTACTGTTCGAATGAGCTCAATGCTACGACTCGGAAGTATCATTTCAAATCCCTGCTTCTGTGAACACACCGCGCGCGGCACAATATTGCTGCTTACCGTGAGGTCTACGGAAGCAAATGTGTAGGAGTAAGTTTTTAGGGAATCCCTATACTCCATTACTGAGAAAAACTATCCCTAATTCTTACATGGGTGGGGTTTGGCCCCTTCCAGCAACATGTGCACGCACCTATTGAAACATCCGTGCCGGCAGTTTAAGGGGGTCAAGTGATCGTAATTAACCGTTCCAGCGAACGGCGACGAGTGCTGCGTTCCTTAATTCGCATTAGCCTGTCGGCTGGAGCTCCGGATTTCTTGTAGACTAGGATTCCTTACCTAATTCAAGTTTCTCGGACCATTATGAGATCACGTTCATCAGGCTTCGAGATTCGTTCACTGAGTGGTCCCTAAACTTGGAATGGGAGAAAGCAGCCTACCAATATTTGAGATAAAGCCGTCAAATAATGGCATACGTTGTGAACTGCCAGAAACAATTGAGTTCTACGACCATTCAACTAGCTAGGAGTTTTAGCTGTTCTGCGCTGGATGCTGCAACTCGGGTGCGCTGACCCTGAAATATCCTGAATTAACCTGAAATAGGTGGGTGTGGAACGCAAATTCCCAGTTCCGGCAGCGCGCGCTAGCAGAGTACTTCCTGGCTAGTTAACTAGGTTGCCACGGGCACAGGGGAGAGCTAGTCGAACTGACAGACGCAAACGCATGAAGCTACGCCGCAGTGCTGCTGCATTTGTGTGGACTGGGTCTTGGTGCGAATACTGCACTCGTCAGCCGGCTTGCAACGCCTGTTTTGTCAAGTTTGCCGCGACGGGGAACTAATGCTCTACAGCCGAAGTAGTTCTAGGCTGAAGTGGCCCAAGCGCCTGAAATAGTCAGAGGAAAATGATTGTGGGAGGCGATTATGCTGTTCGGAGATAAATGAAATTGTACTTCTGGCTTTTCGTGGATCTTTCAGTATTAGGGTGGTCTATTGTAATTCTCCCTCTTTGACTGCGGCCTCAAATTCCTCTGGTTTTACTGACGAAAAGGTTGAGCGCGAGTAGTATTCGTACTGATGGCTTACTGTGCTGGTGTATGAGAAATAGACGATGCTTTTTCCCGTTGTGATTCTACAACGTCCCAAAAATAACCGATTTCAGGACAACATCCTTGGCACTCGCTGCACGAATCCTGATGACCCCCTCAGTCTGAACACAATTCTAACAGGTGTCGAACAGCTGTTCGGTAATAAACGTTCCAATCGAAATTGATTTCATAGTGTTCATTGCTCTCAATACCGTAATCTCATTTCTGAGTATTAGCATGGCTAATTTGGCTGCCTATTCTTCGCTGTCATATTCCCTCTCAACGAGATGTTGCACTATTCCTTGTATCAATTGCTACATTTCGACTGTCGGGTCGTCCGTTCACTAATGGCTATTTTCACGTTTTTCATAGGTGACAGTGCACTGTATGGATAGCCAAGGTCGCTTGTTGTGTGTGTTATCGATTTCTAGAAAATGTATATAAAATTTATT